AGCGTCGCCAAGCCAACCTGGGGCAACCCACGAGCGGATCTTCGATGGGCAAACTCATGAGGTGATCCGTGGACCGAGAAAGATCGAGCGCGAGATAAGTAACGAATTGTCCCACCCATACGTCGGCCTCAGACCAAAGGCGTAATATAGTTATATATGTATTCATACATGAGAATCTATATATATATATATATGTGTGTGTATACATCTATATATATACATATATATATATTGAGACGTCAACTGCACGCGACGTTTGATCATGAAGGCCTTGAAGCTGTTATCCTCGCACACCTTCTTGTACGCCTGCGTCTCTGGCTCCGAGAAAGGGGCGGTGCCCCCGTACTCCTCGTCGCACTTCGGGAACGCGTCCTTCTTCCACGCGACGCCGAAATTCCTGTTGATGTCCACCCCGCTGCTCTGCGAGCGCTGGCATGTAGGCCGCCGATTCTTCCGAATCATACCGTGGATCCTGGAAAGAATGGAAAAGATAGCCATGACTAAGTTTGTGCGCGGAAAAAGCTGGTGCCGATCGTGTTCACCGCCAATCTTTGTCACCGTCAAGTCGTGGATCATACTTTCGAATCGGCAACGGCTGGCGTGGCGCATGACCAAGATCTTGGCGAGACCGAAAGATACTGGTACTGCTGCTACTCCTCAGACTTCTCCCGGGGTGCGTTCTGACCAGAATGTCGAGGCGAGTCCAGATGTGGCGACGAGGGCCTCCCAGGAGGCTCAAAAAGGCGAAAACGAGGCAAGGGTAGCGGTATTGGTAGATCTGCTTCCTCTGAGGACCAGCGTTGACAAGATCCCGAGACATCATGGTCGTCGTCGTCTGTCTTCCCACGAGATCCCGAGCTTCTCGTTGGCGGCGTAGCCGTCGGGGTTCACGAAGGGCACCGACCACAACTCCCGGCCCTCCAGCAAGTACACCGCTTCCGGGTCGCCCCCCTGGTACAGCTCCTGAGCATCATTCAATTGATCCCTGTCCCCACCGGCGTGGCCTTGGCCCCGCAAGCTGGCTTACCCCCCTAGGTGGAGATATATGCCCGCTCCCTGCGGGTCTCGCGGGGCCTATCCCCACCTGGGGCCACCTGGGGAGGGTGGGCTGGTGGTGCTGATAGGAGAACAAACACTGACATAAACATAAGAACTCGGAGGTCCGCGCAGATTCCTCAGATCGGCGCTGGGGCCCCCTGGCGGCGCCTCTGGCACCGCCACTGGCGCGCTCCGCGCGCCAGGGAGGGAGGTCCATTGCCGATCCGAGAAATCCGCGCGGACCTCCGCGTTTTTATGTTAATGTCATTGTCTGTTCCCCCAGCTGAGGCACCCTGGCACCAGTGGGGATAAGGATCGCTTAGGCGATGCTGAGCTCCGTGAACGCACGAAAACTGACCCCGCCCCCCACATGAGGAACTTCAGAACTCCCCTGCGGCAGCTGGCAATGGCCTCGCTTACAGGGCGCCTACACTTACGCACATTCGCCAGAATTGCAAAACGCTGACATGTAAAATCCATTGTTGTGGGAGCTGGGGTCCGTTTCCCACTGTTCACTCCATGAGGTGCCCCATCGCGTAGAGCACGCACGTCAGCGTGGCCGGCTCCCGAGAGTGCATGAGGGCGGTGATGAGCAGCTGAGCCCTCGCGGCGCCGCCGCCCGCCGACCCCTCGGGGCCGGCGGCGGCCCGCGGCCGCGCGGCGAGGACGTAGGCGTCGATCGGGCGGTGCTCAAAGCTCTCCCCGATGCGCTCCTTCGGCGGCGCGCACAGCAGGAGGAGGAGAAGGAGGAGAAGGAGGAGAAGGAGGAGAAGGAGGAGGAGGGGGGAGGAGGAGGAGAGGAGGAGGGGAGGATGAGGAGGAGGAGGAGGAGGAGGAGGAGGAGGAGGAGGGGGAGGAAGAAGGAGGAGGAGGAGAAGGGAGAAGGAGGGGAAGAGGACTAGGAGGAGGAGGACGAGGAGGAGGAGCGGAGGAGGAGGGACAGGAAGAGGAGAGCAGAGGAGGAGGCGAGAGGATTAGGAGGAGGAGGAGAAGGAGAAGGAGGGGATGAGGGGAGGGGCAGGAGGGGAAGGAGGAGGAGGACTAGGAGGAGGAGGAGGAGGAGGAGGAGGAGGAGGAGGAGGAGGAGGTCGGAGGAGGAGGAGGGAGAGGAGGAGGAGGCCCCGAGGAGGAGGGAGGAGGAGGAGATACATGCTGCCGCGCGGGAATAGAAGGAGTGAGGAGGAGGAGGAGGAGGAGGACGGAGGGGAGGGAAGGAAGGCTTCATGGAGGCAGCCTCCTTCACAGAAGCCCCCCCAGTGCTCGCCGCAGCGATGCGTTCCTTGCGGAGGAGGCCTGGGTACTCGGAGAGCCAGCCCTCCAGCAGCGCTCCCGCCTCTCGGGCTGAGGGGCGGGGAGGGAGTTTCGGCACGGGGCCCCATAATTGGGGAGCCCCTCCCCCTTCCCTGGGGCCAGTTCTGCCTCACGAGTCGTTCTCTGATAACCCCTCGCCTTGTCGTCTTTC